CAACATCATATTGAGTAACAGAATAAACTGAATTAGATGTGTACACCAAAAAAGCCCCTATAACTTGAGGGTCAGGTGATAGACTAGTATATGCTACCCTGAGCCAGGAGGGAGGAGGAGCTACGGATTGCTGCAGAGTAGGTCACAAATAACAAAAGGATCAGAGGAGGGTCTGGGGAGGTAGCTCAGTCAGTAGGTAGAGTGCTTGCCTATCCTGTACAAAGCCGAGTTCAGCCCTCACACACACACCTGTAATCCCAGCATTGGAGGGGAGGCAGGAAGACTGGGAATTCTGTGCCAGTGTGGTCTACTTGAGCGCCTGACAGAATAACAAAGGACTCAAGAGAGAAACTGAAATTGTATAGTAGATTCTGTTATACAGACACAGTCTCTTATGGAATAAGAGTCCTCTCCATCACTCACAGGCACTCATGCTTGTATACACACACACACACACACACACACACACATCACTTGATAGGCACGCTCCAGAGCCTGTGGTCTTGGGCCTCATGCTAGCCCTCTGGCATTCAGAAATAAGACACACCAAACATAATTAAGAGGGTGGGTGTCAAGAAGACTGGATGAGGTGTGGCTCTGTGCCAACCTGAGGCAGTTCTGAGGACCTTGTGGACTACAAGGAAGGGAGGGGAGGGGAAGGGGAGGGGAGGGGAGGGGGGGGAAGGGGGGGCACGGGGAGGGGAGGGGAGGGGATTTAAATCACAGGGAATGTAAATTGCCAAACCAAGAGACAGGTTGGTCTGAGCCCATAAAATCCAGCTTGTGCTTCACGTGCTGTGGGAGTGAAGGACTTTGGACACTCCTTGGGGGGTGGTAGAGTTTGGTTTGGTTTGGTTTGGTTTGGTTTGGTTTGGTTTGGTGTTCAGTGCTAGGGATCGAATTCAGGACCGTCCCCACTCATGGTAGGCATGCACATTCTTCTATTGAGCCACACTCTCAGCCCAGCCTGGCTGGGAAGGACCTGTGCAAGGGAGTTGTGAACTCTGTCTCCACACTGCCCATGGCTCTACCAAACCTCTTGGCCCAGAGCACTAAGCCCTGTAGGTAGAATTTTCTATAAACCACCTCTACTGGAGAATTGCTTGGGATTTTTCTTAGACAGGTGGGACATGCCCTGAGTCACCTGGGAGCAGTTTTTGGGATTTCCCTCTCTAGCCTTTTCAGCTGTCGTTCCTGCTGTCCCCTCTAGCCTCAGCTTTTCTACCTTAGCCCACTCTCTTCTGTCACCCAGGAGGTCAGAGATAAGAAGAAGCCACCTCCTTTGCCACATCCTCTCCCAGACCACATTCACCCTCCAGCAGCTTAGGCAGCTGCAGAGCCTGGCTTCCCCAGGCCCTTAGGGAGAGGAGGAAGGATGGCAGCCAGAACTTCCTGGGGGAGCCGGGGCTCTGGCCTGTACCCTTCCCTCCCGCTGGGCCGAGGTGGTTAGTTGTGATAATTATATCCAAGTCATTTCCGACTGGCATAAGCCCGCCCACCCACAGAGCCCGCCTTGAGCCAGGATGCTGGGGGTTTGAGGGGGATCAGCTACCCTGGGAAGGTGTCCTGATCCGTGCTAAGGCCAAAGAAAAGGTATTTGTCACTCACCTCCCCCTGGAGCCCTCTTATCCCTCCCTCCTCCAGGGCTTCTAGTCCCTACTTTCCACCTCCACCCTGCTTCTTGCTTGCCTCCACACGACTAACTCCCTCTCCTCCTCCATCCCAGGTTTTGAATGAAATCAAGTGGCACTGAGTTCTGTACTAGCCTCTGACATAAACACTCTGATTGGGGCTAATTATAAGGGCCAGACTGGAAAGCTGGAACTTTCAGAAAGCTTTGGCTTTCAAACAAAGGGCTCAGAGCTCAGCCCCTCAGCCCCAGTTGGCTCCTCACTAGGCCTCATTGGGAATGAAGAGACATTCTAGGCAACAGGCAGTCAAGATTCTAAACTACAAAGTATAAGCACGTTCCCTGTCTAACTTCATCTTACTTAGTTTTGCCTTAGCCCTTCTGTTTTGCAAAATCTGGTGCCTTCGAAGTGGACTTGCAAGAGCCTGTCTGGAGAGGCAGCAGGCAAGGCGGATGGAGAAGGCTCTTAGGCCAGGAAACTGGGGCAGGAGGTCCAGAGGTCTGGGAGGAGTAGGGGGAGGCACAAGGGAAGCCAGCTGTGACAGCCCTAGCTCTAATTAGCTGGCTTCAAAGCTGATGGAGAGGCTGTCCCACCCTGGTGTGTGCACTGCTCATTCAGGCAAGTAAGACATTTGTGTCCTCATCAGAGAGAGAGAGAGAGAGAGAGAGAGAGAGAGAGAGAGAGAGAGAGAGAGA